AGCCAACCGGACCTTCATGACTTTCCCATTCAGGACCCGGATGTACAGTATTATACGGATGGTAGTAGCTATGTGAAAGAAGGAATTACCCGGCGGCAGGTTGTAGAGTTGGGTAAAACTATGGAGGAGGTACAGAAATGGGTACAAGATAGGTTACCTGTAAATATTTATCCACCTGTCCATTCTTACCATCCAGGAGACCAAGTTTGGATAAAGGAGTGGAACAGTGTACCGTTGGGGCCAAAGTGGAGGGGTCCTTATGCTGTTCTTTTGTCTACTCCAACATCTATAAAGGTGGCAGAGGTGACTCCGTGGATTCATCACTCCAGGGTTAAACCAGCAGCAGATTCTTGGCAAGCTACTCAGGATCCTGAGAATCCCTGCAAGATCCGGTTGAAGCGAGTGACCCAGTTAGATTAAAAGTGTTTTTTGCGAAGAGTATTGTTACAAGGGAACATCAACAAAGATCTACAAGTAGGTGTTTTGACGGCCACAATAAAGCCTGACCACCTACCAACGTTTAAGCCAGAGGAATCCTCTGTGAAGTACAGTGAGGATCAGAAGGACTCCATTCCCTGCAGCCCTCACACGCCTGGAAGCTGAGGTGCCGTCGCACGGTCGAAGAATTAGGAAGAAGATGTCAGGAGTAATGTGTTTGATGATGTATATATATGTGTTTTTAATTATTCAGGAAGGTAGAGGTACCGACACACCAGGCTGCGAGGTTTGCATTAAGACTACGAAAACAGGCAATCGTATTTCCCAGACCCTTATTTGGCATTCGCAATATGAGTGCACAGGACATGTATCAAAGTGTAGATACCTAGGTACAGATTATAGTGTATGCCATATAGGAGCAGGAGAACCTAGGTGTTTTAATCCTGAGTATCAGCCCCGTACAATTTGGTTGACTATTCGGAATGAGAACGCACAGGGGAACCTGATAAATAAGACTGTACTAGAAAGCGTACATTCTCCAGGTGTTTTGCTATTTGATGCATGTAAGGCGATATCAGGTAGTAGGAAGCCATGGAATGTATGTGGTGGTCTTAAATGGGAAAGAACGTAAAGGTCTAATGATAAGTATATTTGTCCTAGTAATAAGCATAAGTATATAGATCCAAACTGCCTAAATAAAGACTACAATTATTGTCCGTATTGGTCCTGTGTGGGATGGGCAACCTGGGGACAGACAGTAGATAAGGATATGATTATCACTAGATTGCCTACCAAGCCATATTGTAAGTCTATGGAGTGTAACCCAGTCCATATACTTATCAAGGACCCAGAGCTATTTATAGATAAGTTTGGGAATCTATTTGGGTTCCAAATATATGGAACAGGTTTGGATCCTGGGACGATATTATACATAGGAATAGAGACAGATACAGTGCCCCCCAGACTCATCAGGTTTTCCATTCTTTTTATGAGGAGATGAGTGTGGAAGATAAGGTTCCCCATAATGCCAAAAACTTATTCATAGACCTAGCTGAGAGCATTGCTGGTAGTCTTAATGTAACCAACTGCTATGTGTGTGGAGGTACTAATATGGGAGACCAATGGCCTTGGGAAGCAAAGGAGGTAATGTATTCTGGTTCTGAGACAGTTGAACAACTAATATCTTCTCAATCTGATTATCAAGTGAGTGTTAGAGGTAAATCTGAGTGGCGATTAAAGACCTCCATTATAGGTTATGTTTGTATAGCAAGGAAAGGAATAATGTTTAATACATCTGTAGGAGAATTGACTTGTTTAGGGCAGAAAGCCTATAATGACGATACAAAGGATACTATTTGGTGGTCAGCTTCAAATGTCTCAGAACCATCTAATCCGTTTGCAAATTATACCAATTTAAAGGATGTATGGTTTGACCTATCTGCTACATCTAGTTGGAAAGCCCCAGCAAATTTGTACTGGATTTGTGGTAAGAAAGCATATTCGGAGTTACCACAGGACTGGGAAGGGGCATGTGTATTGGGTATGCTCAAACCATCCTTCTTGTTGCCAATTGAAACAGGAGAGACTTTGGGAGTTAAAGTATATGATGTAAATCATAGGAAGAAAAGGGCACCCCTAGAGATAGGTACCTGGGAAGATGATGAGTGGCCTCCCCAGCGTATTATAGATTATTATGGGCCACCTATGTGGGCAGAGGATGGTACTTATGGATACAGAACCCCAATATATATGCTTAATCGTATTATAAGATTGCAAGCAGTAGTTGAGATAGTTACCAATGAAACATCACAAGCGCTCAATCTCCTAGCGAAGCATAACACTAGGATGAGGATAGCCATCTACCAGAATAGATTAGCTTTGGATTACCTATTAGCAGTAGAGGGAGGTGTATGTGGGAAGTTTAATCTAAGCAATTGTTGTCTTCAAATAGATGATGAAGGGCAAGCAATAGCTGAGCTTACTAGCCATATGGTTAAGCTAGCACATGTACCTACTAAGGTATGGAAAGGGTATAATCCGAGTAGTTGGTTTGGTAGTTGGTATGAGCAGTTTGGAGGAATCAAGGCATTGGTAGGTGGAGTCATACTGATTTTGATGTTGTGTCTCCTTCTGCCATGTCTGATTCCTTTAGGTCTATGCAGAGCATTATAGAAAGTATAGCAGAAAGAAAGGCCGCAGCACAGGTAATGGCTGTTTGCAGGTATGAAGCTCTAGATCAAGGAGAATACATGCAGGAAGAGGAATGTTGAGGGGTTCGTATCTTTAGAGGATCGCAAAGTCTAGTCTGGTTTATGGCAACTTGAGGTGTAAGCAAACTATGATTGGTGATGCATTTGGAATTATTTTAAATCAGAAGCATCAAAGGGGGGAATGTGATGGAATTCCAGTAAAATAAAAGTTTAGCAGGCCAAGATTGCCACAAAGCATATGTAGGTACATGTGTTTGTAGTATCAGTTAGTTAGTTACATGTAGCTAAGATACTGTCATCACTGTACTGAGCATGTGCAGGAATGCAGGAACTGGAATTACGCGTCCCTCTCCTTTGTTTCAGATGAGCCACGTGGTTAGACCGGATGGATGAGTTTAGACTCTATTCATTGATTAGGTTAAGGGTATGTGTGGGCGTAGCTAATTATGGGAGGAGCTACAGTGCTATATAAGGAATGTACTCTATGTATTCAGTGCTCAGATCTTTGCTGTTTTTGGTGACATAAGTCCCTCTGAGTCCCGGTCGGTGAATCGAATAAAGATCTCTTCCTTCCTGAAGAAACCTGTGTCCATCTCTCTGTGCTTGGCCTCCGTCAGTTTCCCGGTAACATATATATATGATATTCCAATATTCCATGTATTGCGATTTTATTCATAAATCCAGTTTTACACTAGGATTTTACCATATTCTTCTTCCAGTTTGACTTCGAGGTCCAGGTTAAGGTTCGCATACACTCTTACTGGAGCCCCACTTTTCATTTGGGTTTGTTATCCTTGTTCGGAATTGCTAGACAGAGGAATTAGTATACTGGACACTGCCTATTATGCTATGAAGAGGGTGCTAATTGGCTGTTTCTGTTGCTAGGAAGATATACCTCTCATGTTATTTACTGGTTTCTTTTTATACTGATTTAATGTTATTTTTCTTTGCTGCTGAGGAAAATAAAGAAAGAGTACAACATAATACTCGCCTCCATATCACTAATAAAATCATGACTTTACGTCATGTTAATAGTAAAATCTGTGAATTATAGTTAGCATTAGGATTATGATTGTCATTAGCATTAGAGTTGGCACCAGGGTTAGAGACAGATACCCATCTTCGCTTTTCTAATTTCTTTAAAAAAAACTGCAGTGGGCAAGTAACTAACTTGGCTGTGTATCTTTGCAGAAACTTGGCAAAGGTGTACAAAAGGTATATCCATATACTGTTGAATTATACAACAGTAGCACATAAGATTTTTAAAAAATATATGCATCATAAATACCATGTCTGTGTAAAAAATATCAAATTAAAATTAATAGCACAAACTTTTAAAGAAAATTGTGAAAAAAAAATAACACCTCAATCAAGTTCAAAATATTTAATTTGAGAGACCCCATGCTTTCCACTTCTGCAAATGTATGAAGTAGTTTATGTGAAAATAAAATAATACCAAATGGCTATACAATAAGGCTTAAAATATATCATATGACATACCTGGTAGTATTTACATTTGCAAACTGAACGCATTTCAGCAAATCAGCCAGTCAAAAGTCAAAATGTAAAAAAATGAAATGGGCAGGTATCTAATTTCGCCATGTATCTTTATAAATTCATAGCAAAGATACACATATAGGAGGGACACAATTGCCAAATTCCCACAGCCCTGAGATAAAAAAACAAACAAATGTCAAATCAGATTTGCATTTCTAACAAAATTTGGTGAATACTGGGCATGTTTGTGGCACACTGCTTGTGCCTCTTCCCACAAAGGAGCTTGTCATACAGCGCAGATACAAGATGAAAAGCTGCCTGGTAGGGCAGCCAATCAAAGACTTCTGCATGGTTTAAAGATACCATGAATTTAACTCCAAGGGCATAGCAAGTGCAGTTAAACAGGTGCCTGCAGTGCGCTTTACCTCAGTCATTCTGACATCACGTTCATCAGGCTGATGGTTGATTGGGTGGACTGGGTCACAACTGGAGTGACCGTGTGATATTGGGGACCCGTGTGGCGCAGTATGACAGCCACTAGACATGGTTTTAACCCTTCAATGTAAACATTGCAGTTTCTATAAAAAAAAACCAAAAAAAAAAAACCTGCAGTGTTTATGTTGCAGGGTTAAAAGGATAGGGCATTTGCACCACTTAAGTGTCCCTTTAAATGCAGAAGCCAAAAGTCCAACACTTAAAACCATAGTCACCTTATTATTATATGTATTATTATTATATTGGGGACCCAGTAAGAGACATTTTTGTTATGAACAACTATGTACAGAGCTCGTGCTCTAGCATGTCATTTAGTTCTTCCGCCACTATGGCTTTCGGCTTCACTGTGCGTCATCATGCAGCGTCCGAGCGTGTGACGTCATCACCCGTCGCCTTCTGTTGGAATTGCCCGCCTCGATTAGGTTTGAAACGGAGCGTAGTGGGGATGCAGCCAGGAGCCGGTACTTCACGGTTTGTTTATTTTATTTATTTATAAATCGCCGTATCCTGGTGTGACCCTCCATCATGAAGCGCACAGCTCCTCGCAGGGCCATTAAGGCCATCATGAAGAAACAGAACCCAACGCTGCGGATGGAGACGAACATAGACCTGCTGGTAATAAACCTCAGCCAGGACATTGCATGCATGTGTCACCGGTCTGATGGGAATTACTGAACCAGAGTCAGTGGCTCTGTGTGTGGCTTATTATAAGTGTGTGTGTGTGTGTGTGTATTATTACAGTGTGTGTGTGTGAAACCCAGGGTTCCTGGCTGAGAGTGATGGAGTCCTATCAGGTGATTTATATTATGTCACCCAATGTCAGTGCCTGTTTGATGTCCTGTCATTTGTTACACTGTATATGTATGTAGCCACTGCTGTCAACTATTATTAACCCATGTGTGTCAGGGGTATCTGCATTTTTCCCAGTTTGCTCTTATTTGTGTTCAGTGAAGAATAAACTGACGTCTAGCTTATATTGATTTTCACCTTTCAGCAAAATTACACCCTGTTTACTACAGTAAAATGTGACATCCCGTTCAGCTACTCTTCCTGCAACCTCATTTTGCTCTCATGCCCATATCAATCTACTTGCAGCCATAGTCCCCCATCTCCTTCCTTTCATGCATTTCCAGCAGATAACTAATGTGTCTGCTGGTATTAAAGGAACACTATAGTGCCAGGAAAACATACTCGTTTTCCTGGCACCATTGTGCCCTGAGGGTGCCCCCACCCTCAGGGTCCCCCTCCCGCCGGGCTCTGGAGAGAGGAAAGGGGTTAAACTTACCTTTTTTCCAGCGCCGGGCGGGGAGCTCTCCTCCTCCTCTCCGCCTCCGATCCTCCTCTTCGGCTGCATGCGCAGCAGGAGCTGCGCGCGCATTCAGCCAGTCTCATAGGAAAGCATTTACAATGCTTTCCTATGGACGCTTGCGTCTTCTCACTGTGATTTTCAGTGAGAAGCACGCAAACGCCTCTAGCGGCTGTCAATGAGACAGCCACTAGAGACTTTGGAGGCTGGATTAACCCTTTTATAAAAAAGAAAAAGGGGGTTAATCCTAGAGGGACCTGGCACCCAGACCACTTCATTAAGCTGAAGTGCCTAGAGTGGTCCTTTTAATTCCTATTAATTTTAATGTAATTGAAAAACCCTTGTCCAGCAAGATTCTATGGGACAAGTGGTCTATAGTAGTTTTACACATCATACAGGATGAGAGGACCTGCTCTCTCATACCACTGCTGTTGACACTTTACGCATCGCTATGGACATCTATTGGCAAACCCGTGACTTCACTCTCTTTCCTAGGAGAGAGAGCTCAGTCCAGGTTGTGCATGCGGCCTGTGCGTTGCATTCCGATCCCACAGCATATATATATACATACATATACACACACACACACAGTCAAGTCCATAAATATTGGGACATCAACACAGTTCTAATCTTTTTGGCTCTATACACCACCACAATGGATTTGAAATGAAATGAACAAGATGCGCTTTAACTGCAGACTTTCAGCTTTGATTTGAGGGTATTTACATCCAAATCAGGTGAACGGTGTAGGAATTACAACATTTTGTATATGTGCCTCCCACTTTTCACGGGACCAATTGTAATGGGACAATTGGCTGCTCAGCTGTTCCATGGCCAGGTGTGTGTTATTCCCTCATTATCCCATTTACAAGGAGCAGATAAAAGGTCCAGAGTTCATTTCAAGTGTGCTATTTGCATTTGGAATCTGTTGCTGTCAACTCTCAATATGAGATCCAAAGAACTGTCACTATCAGTGAAGGAAGCCATCATTAGGCTGAAAAAACAAACCTATCAAAAAATAGCAAAAACATTAGGTGTGGCCAAATCAACTGTTTGGAACCTCCTTAAAAAGAAAGAACACACCGGTGAGCTCAGCAACACCGGAAGACCACGGAAAACAACTGTGGTGGATGCCCGAAGAATTCTTTCCCTGGTGAATTAAACACCCTTCACAACAGTTGGCCAGATCATCAACACTCTCCAGGAGGTAGGTGTATGTGTGTCAAAGTCAACAATCAAGAGAAGACTTCACCAGAGTGAATAGAGGGTTCACCACAAGATGTAAACCATTGGTGAGCCTCAAAAACAGGAAGGCCAGATTAGAGTTTGCCAAACATCTAAAAAAGCCTTCACAGTTCTGGAACAACATCCTATGGACAGATGAGACCAAGATCAACTTGTACCAGAGTGATGGGAACAGAAGCGTATGGAGAAGGAAAGGAACTGCTCATGATCCAAAGCATACCACCTCATCATTGAAGCATGGTGGTGGTAGTGTCATGGCGTGGGCATGTATGGCTGCCAATGGAACTGGTTCTCTTGTATTTATTGATGATGTGACTGCTGACAAAAGCAGCAGGATGAATTCTGAAGTGTTTCGGGCAATATTATCTGCTCATATTCAGCCAAATGCTTCAGAACTCATTGGACGGCGCTTCACAGTGCAGATGGACAATGACCCGAAGCATACTGCAAAAGCAACCAAAGAGGGAAAGAAGTGGAATGTTATGCAATGGCCAAGTCAATCACCTGACCTGAATCCGATTGAGCATGCATTTCACTTGATGTAGACAAAACTGAAGGGAAAATGCCACAAGAACAAGCAGGAACTGAAGACCGTTCCAGTAGAGGCCTGGCAGAGCATCACCAGGGATAAAACCCTGTGTCTGGTGATGTCTATGCGTTCCAGACTTCAGGCTGTAATTGACTGCAAAGGATTTGCAACCATGTATTAAAAAGTGGAAGTTTGATTTATGACTGTTAATCTGTCCCACTACTTTTGGTCCCTTAAAAAGTGGGAGGCACATATACAAACTGTTGTAATTCCTACACCCTTCATCTGATTTAGATGTAAATACCCTCAAATTAAAGATGAAAGTCTACAGTTAAAGCACATCTTGTTTGTTTCATTTCAAACCCATTGTATTGGTGTATAGAGCCAAAAAGATTAGAATTGCGTTGATGTCCCAATATTTATGGACCTGACTGTGTATATGTATATATCTATCCCCCTCTCCCTGCGGTAGAAAATAAACCAATATCACTGGGTTCCAACTGTTGTGCTATAATGTGTTTTATTGTTGTAGAAAATGTCTGTTAGTAACAAAGTTTTATATTTATATATGCTCTACATCCATGGAGAAACTTTCTCAGCATTCGTGTATGCATGTACTGCTTTGCATGGTGTAACTAATTAGTGCACTGTGTGCATGGCAAATTAAGAAAATTAATTTGATTTAAAATATAGCGCTATTTTCTTTGTTTTAGTTAGCTTTTTTGTTTAACTAAAATTTCATAATTGACATTTCTTCTGTAAAGCCCACAATGTTAAGTGTTCATTTTAAATGTAAAGACATTTGTGGTTAGCTGAGCATTCTAGAGCTAGTAGCCCCATAGCAAGTGAACCGCTTTATCAGCTCTGAAAGCTTTGCATGTATCAATAGATCACAAACATGTATATGCTGAAATAAAAATAATCTGGATGATTGGAGGCATGTTGATTTCAATTGAAGGGGTAAATCCTACATTATTCTGCAAATCTAAAAAGGTAAACACTAGCAATCAATGATAGGATCTCTGTTTATCTAGGATTGTCAAGTCCTGTATGAACGATTTTAAATGTCACTTGCTGCATTAAGTAATTTATTACCATGTAAATCACCCAATATTAATACAGGTTTTATTTCTTCTTTAGATCCATTTAAACTGCCTGCTGTTTCTCCAAAGGTTGGCCACTGAGTCCCGGTTAAAAGCATGTGAGGAAAAGTCCTCCGTGATAAAACCTGAACATATCAAAGCCGTTTCAAAGGTAGCACAATTACTTTAAACAGGATCTATTATGAAATGGTAACTGGCAGGTTATCCAGAATTTTAATCTCTAAGCACTGGTGTCATCAACAGTTGAACTAGTATACACATAAGTGCCACTACACTATCTGCATTTGACATCTTTATCAACTAGTGTTTAACTCTCAAGACAAATCTGTCACCACCACTGACCACCATTTAGTAAAACAAGTACTGTGGCAGAAGGCCATACTCCTCTACCTCTGTTCTGCTGGCATCTCTTCTTCTCTAATGTGTTATTCATTGTGTCGCTCAGATTTCTTCCTGCATTGTATCCTGGTATGAAACAATGCTACAATCTCACCAGATGCGTTGCATTTGATCCCATGATCTGCTTCTTCCCTGCATTCTGTTACGCTCTAAGTAATGACTTAGTAGGACAATGTAAGCACAAAGTCTTTTCATCTTGATGAAGATCTATTGATACATAGGTGCTGCCCCTGCAGCCCTACAGATGAAAACCGTGCAGTTTCTGAAAAATGGCACTGTTCAAAGCTGCTTTCAGACAGATAACTGTTTAAGTCTGCACATTGAATCAGATGAAATTCTGGCATCATTTTGATGTCTGGTGTTACCGTGTAAAACATGCAGAAACTGTGTACATCCAATTCTACTCAATGATGGATCTAGGCAGTTGTTGTGCCTGTGCCATCAAATGAGAAGCATGTGATTGAGCAAATGTCATCAGGATTCATGCTCACTGTTTAGTAGGCATGCCTCTACTCGCGGCATATTTTAATATTTTAATCTCTCTAATGCTACTATGGGGGTCATATTGACCCCCATAGAGTGAGGGAGGACATGGGGGCTTAGGAAGTGGCAGGGAGCACAGATATTACAAGGAGGGAGCTGCGCGCCGGTCTTTCTGACAAATGAAAAAATAGATGAAATTCCCATTCGCATGCCCAAGTGTTTAACTGGGCATGTGCGGGAATTTCACAGCGTTCTCTAGTGTGGGCAGATGACGTGTCCCACAGGGACTTCATCTACCCCCACAAAGATGGCTGTACTCAGGACCTAGGTTTGGGCAGAAAATAAAGAGTAAAAAAAATAGGTAATATGGGGACTTAGGGGCATTTGGGGGTGACTAGTGGGACAATTGGATGCAGTGGATTCGGGAGGGGGAGTTAAAAAAACAAAAAGGGATTCAGCCATGACAGTGCCGCTTTAACATACAGTTCCTTCCCAACATTCCTTTAAATGTCGCTACTTACAATTTCTGTTGACCCATACCAAAAATCACCTGGACAAAAATACCATGCCACATATAAATTTTCTAAACACTTAGGAAGGAAAACCATGCTGCCGCTAATACTAAATAAAAATGAATTAGCAGTGAGTAAAATTTTTTTTTTTTTTTTTGGTCCTATAGTGGCAGTACCCCCAGTAATTTAGCATGTATAATACACTAGAAAGGTTGTGTCAGTTCTTCACTGTGATAACTGCTTGCAACACCTTTCTCCCAAATTTTTCATTAAAAGCTCAAATGTCTAGCCATTTTGTAAATGTGTGATCATGTTGCATCCTTGCATTTCATATCCAGTGATGTGTGGGTTATTTCTGTTCACAACGTTGACGTAGCTCTTGTACAATATGCTTTAATTTTTCAGGAGCAGTTGTTTTTAATCAAACAGACCTGTCTTATAGAGCTGAATACCCTATGGTATTGATGCTATATACGACATTGAAAAAAATACAGGTTCTGTCTGTTTGTAAAATCATAAACCACCAAAATTCTAATCCCCATCTAGTAATACCCTATATGGATTACTGTAGCTTTGCTATCCCCTCTGCATAAATTCTTCTGCTAGTTGCATTTACCTTACTTCATCAATCTGCTTCTTTATACTACCAGTCTCTCCACTGGTGCCACACCTGTTCCAGGATAATCACACTATCATCCATGCCTAACTAGCTCAAACAGTAGACTGCCAGACATGTATCTCTGCTGTTCTCTCCAAATACTCTCCCACCATCCCTATTCTTCTGCCCAGGAATTGCACCTCTTCTTGTTTTTCATAATTACACCCACTAATGTCTCCAGAACATCTTCCATGCTGCATCTACTCTATAAAATGCCTTGTCTTTTTCTGTCACATGTGCCTCCACATCCTAATTTAATGTCACTATTAACAGACCACATTTCATATTGGTGCAAATGGTAATGTCAAATGAGGGGCAAAGTCTTGTACTCTTCCCTGCATTGTGTCAGAGTTTATTTGTCTTTTTAAAATATATAAATGTATTATTTATTTAAAGAGTTACCCCAAGCACAATTTTGACTTCAGCGATATAAAGTGGTCATGGTGTTTGGAGTCTGTATATGCAGCATTTCAGTATAAAATGTAGCCTATACAGAGATATTTTATATTGTTGCCAGAAATGCAATTCCACATACAACCCATACAGCAGTCAGTGCAATTCCACATACAGCATATTCCATGCACAGATCAAGACATTAATAAATGATGAGATCCGCATGCGTCTTCTGCAGAGCTGTCACACGATAGCAATGCAGACTCTTTTTACCTGGACTCGTGCGGAGGGGAAACAGTGGCAAATCTTTTTGGCCTATTACTGGGAAACGGCACCAGGGTACTCCCAGCATCATAACCACTACAGTGTGCATAAACTATCAAATGAGGATCAGTGAAGCTTTTGTATTGGATTGTTTGATTTTCTGGTTGAATATTAACTCATTCATTAAACAGATATTCATTTATTTTACATGCTTGCATTTGTTTTTCAGATAGTTTTAAAAAAATCCAAAGGCTAAAATTGATGGAAAGCTAAAGAAGAGAACTCAATTTCATCATGAGGTGTCAATTGTCTGATACTTAAATTGTTTTATTTATAATTATCACCTTTTGTTTATTTTAATAAAGTTGTTACAAGACTTACAATATTGTGTAATGCATTTTTTTTGTTTAAATAGTCTTGTACTGTTCACTAAAATCTGAATTTTAGCAAATGAAATTACTTTTAAAATTGAATTTAGTGAATAACGATGTTTGAGAGTTAATCATCAAGCAACAAACCACTGATACAAATATACTTCTGTATTAAAAAGTTTACAGATAAGCACTGTAACCAGTCACTTGAAATGTCAACACTAACTGATGTTACTGGCTTATAGTAAGCTAACTGCAGAAAATCATGTAGATAATAAATACACAGTTCATAGCATAATATTTTTACCTTTTATTTTGTGAAATATAAGTTCTGGTTTAACCTGTTAAGGCCTCAACTTAAATACAAAGGTTTTAGAAGCTAAGCTTAGTGGTTTATATAAAAAACATTATAAAGCAATGCTCCTCAGAAAATGTTTTATTCTTTTTTTATTTTAACTGACAGTTGAAGCGTTCAGGCCAGTTGGTATATGAGTGAAATTGTGAGATCCTAATAAACCATGCTGGAAATGGCTACTCCCTAGAAGAGACATTCATTTAACACAAGTCACCCTATCATTTAAATAATACATATTCCTGGGTGCCAGGAATTTAGTTGGGTTAAGGCAAATGCTTTGGACAAACCAGTCAAGTTTTTCTCAGCAGTGGAACTGTTGCTGGTGCAACTGCATTGGAGCTTGTGTGCTGAGCAGTCCCATCGGGCTGCCCATGCATGTAGGGCCACCCAATTGGAATGTATTTTCAGGGGCCCAGTTGTGCTCTGCTGCCCTTAAACAACATAACTGGGCCCCTTTAATAATCTCAGCCTGGGAGGAAGTGAAAGCCTGTTACTTCCTCCCAGATAACACTGAGGCACACAGGAGAGGATAGAAAGTTGGGGAGTACAGACTGGGAGTACCTCTCACTCCCAACACCCTCAACCACCAGACTGAACTCCTGGTAAGTCACCCTCCTGCATCCAAAAGGTAGGAAAGAGGAGGGTGGCTAAATAAATGTAAACTTGCATGTGTGTCTGTGTATTGGTATGTCTGTATGCGTATCTGTAAAATGTTTTATTGTGTGTGCCTGTGTATCTACCATGTATCAATGTGTGTGTGTCAGTGTTTGTACCTGTTCGTCTGCATGTGTGTGTCCTGCAGGGATTGTGACTCATTCCTGCATGCCTGACATCATCAGAAGTGATTCTGTGTGCCAATCACAATGCTTCCCCATAGGATTGACTGAGACTGCCAAGGAGGCAGATCAGGGGCAGAGCCAACACAAGTCAAAAACAACCCTGGCCAATCTGCATCTCCTCCTAGAGATCCATTGAATCAATGGACAAATTAGAAAGTCTGCTATGCTTCCAGTTTGGCTACTGTTGCCTTAAATTTTAAGCCACGTTGAATTCAATTTTTTTTGTATATTGTGGCTGGAGCCCAACAAAGCTGGGCCTAGAACAAAACTAGCAGCCAGCGGGCAAATGGCTAAATAAAATTGGGGTTGGATAGAGCAATCTCACCCCCCCACCTCCCCCCACGGGCATGGGGTCGTGACTTATATTTAAAAAGTGGGAGTATCCATATGTCTTGCATCATAAAAAGTGATCAGGGGTTGGCTGCTGTTTACTAAAAGGGGAGGGCTGGGTTTAGCGATAGGGTTGGGCTAATTATAATACTCAATGGGGACGTAGAGACCCACAACCATGGGTGGTGAGTTGGAGCTCAAATTATAATATACAATGGGGGCTGGACATGCTATAGTCTCACCTCCCCAAGTGACATGAGGTCCCCAATTTTCTACCTACCCTCAATAAACTACACTAACCCTACCTGCCCCCCTAGTAATAATAAATGGGGGGAAGGGGCATTAAAACTCATAAATGTAAAAAAAAAAAAAAAAAATTGTGTATATATACTGTCCATTAGATGTCTTCTTTCTGGTAAACCTTCTTATGTTTACCTTGTGTTTTATTTTTTAATTTACAGTTAGGGGTTTGGAGGTGAAGATTATTCTGTCTACCCCCCCCATTTATTTTTTTGTCACCCACTTGATGCCCATAGATGGGGATACGGGGTAAACTATTTGTCCTCCATTGTTTTACAGGCATCATTCTCATGGTATGGGGCCTTGAAGCCTTCTGACCCCCATAGACTTTCTTTTTTTAAAGTGGCAGCTGGTTAGCAAGCATTGACTGGCTGCCACGTGGTTAACCCTTGCATTATTGTAATCTGCATACTGCAGGATGCCTTTAATTCAGAATTTTAATAAAACGGTGCTTTCTGAATATTCATTTACTTTGTACTAAGTTCTAATGTGAATGCACTGATTTTAATCCAGACACTGAATGCATCGAGCGATTGTTGAAAATTTGCTTATGTCTGAATTTCAATCTTTAGTAAATAGTGGTATTGCCATTGCAATCATTTTCACCAGATTTAGTGAATAAACTTGTTGGTGTAATAGTCCACATTTTGGTGGGTTATCCTATTTTGACTCTTTAATGTTCACTTCCAACGTCCCCACGAAGTGGGGGATATTCCTCATGTGAGAGAACAACCTAACTGGTGCATCTTATGAATTACTGAATAGCCTTCAATTTTTTGGACAACATTCAATCCTTGCATTAACTTTCCATGCATCCACCGAAAAGAAAGAGGCAGAAATTGTGTTATATACCCTGTTCTTGCAAAACCATGCGTACACTGTAGATCCAGAGGGGGATATTTATCAAGTGGTCTGCAACTGTCTTTGAAGTGATCTGAGGAGTGATGGTTTTCTTCCTGGTAAATTAAACAGTTGTTCTAGTTTAGTACACCCCACAGAACCCTAAAGATCAAACAGTTCTGCCACTAATTTTACAAGGTTGGTATTCAGAGATTTATTCTGTTCTGTCCTCTGTATTCAGTCTCACAATTGGTTAATCAATCAGAAGTTTGCCAGGCATGCATGATGGACTTGGCAGCAGGCACGGTGTCTAGTTACTATTTTGAAATCTTGCCTATCAAAATCATTTATCCAGCCATGGCCGGATCATTGGGACATTGTAAGTGTACTTTCACTTGTTTGATGAAACCATAAATAATGGGGGTCCCTTTGTAGCAGGAAGAATGAGTGAGATATAGGGATCCTGATCTCTGCATACTTCAGTTGTGACCACAACAGGATAACCAGGAGACACTTTAAAGTAAAGATTTCTTTTAGAAGGGGACTTTATGGTTTAGAAACATTTGTAAAGCCAGTGCAAATTAGGTACCGTATTTTTCGCTCCATAAGACGCACCTCACCATAAGACGCACCTAGTTTTTAGAGGAGGAAACCCAGAAAAAAAAATATTCTGCACAAACTGTTCCATAGTGTTTCTTACCATGGGACAGTTTGTTCAGAATATTTTTTTTTCTCCCCTGTCCCATAATGATCTTTAACCCCCCTTTCCTCTGTCCCATAGTGATTGTTAACCCCTCCTACCCTGTCCCATAGTGATTGTTAACCCCTCCTACCCTGTCCCATAGTGTTCTTTAACCCCTCCTCCCCTTGTCCATTAGTGTTCTGATCCCATAGTGTCCCCCCCTCCCATTGTCCCATAGTGCACTTTCCCTCCCATAGTGTCCCCCCCTGCCCTTGTCCCATAGTGTCTCCCCCTCCCCTTGTCCCATAGTGTCCCCCCCTCCCCTTGTCCCATAGTGTCCCCCCTCCCCTTGTCCCATAGTGTCTCCCCTCCCTTTCTCCCATAGTGTCCCCCTCCCCTTGTCCCATAGTGTCTCCTCCCTCCCCTTGTCCCATAGTGTCTCCTCCCCTCCCCTCCCATAGTGTCCCCCCTCCTTGTCCCATAGTGTCTCCTCCCCTCCCCTTGTCCCATAGTGTCTCCCCCTCCCCTTGTCCCATAATTACTTACCTGTCTTGGAGCGTGGGCCGGCTTCACAGCGCGCTCCGCGGTCCAGGAACTAATATTTCAGGTTCCGGTTTCCGGCGGGACTGAAAGGAAGTGTGCACACTCAGTGTGCACACTTCCTTTCAGTCCCGCCGGAAACCGGAACCTGAAATAGAAGTTCCTGGACCGCGGAGCGCGCTGTGAAGCCGGCCCACGCTCCAAGACAGGTAAGTAATTCTTCACATTCGCTCCATAAGACGCACAGACATTTCCCCTCACTTTTGAGGGGAAAAAAAGTGCGTCTTATGGAGCGAAAAATACGGTAATCTCTTTGTTGAGTTCCTCCCTTTTTGGATGAAGCTTTTCCCATCAGCACTATTCCTTTCCGTCCTCTCGCCTATTTTTCTTTACATCTCAGTTTGACTATACGCATGGTTTTCATACATGTGCCCTGGAAGGTTCCCGTTTGGAACACAGTTTATACATTTATACATCGATCAATAGATAAGACTATCTGCTTAACTACAGCACAGTCTAACGTGAGTACCTTCTACAGTGGTTACTTTTAGCACAATTTGGAGACCGGTAGGTGATACAAAGTATGTAAAATTAATACCTCTAAATAAAAGCAATTGAAGGTTAAATGCAAAAATAAATATATATATATATATATATAGCAAAAAACAAAAAAGTTATGGTGGGGAAAAAATTATGATTGAAAACCCCTTCCACCTGAAGTCTGTGGATAGTCAACACAAGACTTGCTTTTCCCAAAGAAATCACAAATTTGCAGTGATGTTACTACCGCAAAGGATTCTGGATGGGCATATGCAAATTAGTTCAACAGAATCACATTTTTGCCTCATTCCATTTTAAACATTTGTAAATAATATATATATATATATATATATATATAATTTACAATTATAACTTGACTTCCATGTAAAAATAATTTCAAATGATAAACCATCCTGATGTTGTAAGTAATAAATCCAGTAATAATTACAAGAAGAAATGATTTAGACTCAAAAAAAGTTCCTGCAACTTAACAATTTAACCTCCCACACATGAATTGTATTAAATGTATACTTCCTGTTAAAATACATGCTTTTTAAATTAAATTACCTGGAATATGGGTATCTGTAACAAAGGCTAACGTTTAAATGTGCTTCATATTAAAATGAACAAACAGTGTTAAAATACCACTGTACATTATGCTGCCACCAAAAAATGTTCAGAATGTAGCCTGTTCTCATGGTCTAATTATTCACATGCAAGAGATGTATTGTAAAGAAGACCCACTCAGTACCTCTTACGTTAGATTTCACAATTTGTTCCTGAAAGATCTACTGGCAGCGTTCTTTCCTTAGTACCTTGGCCAAATCCTATTAAATATGAGATTGTGGTGGACAACGTGACATCAGATATATATGTATGTTATTCAGACCCACACTATTGTTTTTTTTCCCGTGATTGTCAGTTTTAATATTCACATTAACTTTTGGAGGATTATTCGCTAAAGTGAAAATAGCTGGGAATTCAAAATAAATTGAAATTGAATCTCAAATTTAAGGCCTAATTAACCATATTGAAAACAGAATTGTCTTGGGATTTTTTTTCTAAGTTGACTATTTTGGCTAAGCTTTTTAAATTAACTTTTAATTCACTTTTAATTCCCAGCAATTCTCACATTAGTGAAGAACCCTGCAAGATTTGAAGAGGGCTTCAACTTATAAGGACAAGAATGAATGTCTGCAATACAGCTTAGATTGTCAAAGGTCCAAGCAGTAGATGGATCACCGGCTGTTTGAAGAAGAACAGATACTTCCCAGTAACAATGTTTCTATTTCTCCAAATCCAGTGAAGTGTGTGCCCTGTCTGTGCCAGAACTCAACTGGAAATAAATGTCTGTTCCTAAATCTTTAATATACACTTAAATTAAAATGGAGCATCATATGAAAAAGATTAACACAAATTACTGGTGTTTTATTCAGTGCTATCATGCATTATCTGGAAGATTATTTCTTGTTATAATTTGCGACTGATTTCATATATATATGTTGTGCTAGTGGAGAAAAACAAAACTTAAAATCCATGCCTGAGTCTCACCTGGTATTTTCTGTGATCTGTCAGGGACAGATCAAAGAGGATCAGAGAGAATGCGGTGTTAGATATGTTGTGCGCTGAGCTTCTGCACAACAATATCTTCAGATATTCGGTAGGATTTTTTTTTTTTTTAAATGTGCAGATCTATGTATTGCTACCCATGTGGTGAGCTGAGCACCATCTAAAGATACAACTGTTTCCTGATTAAAACAGTTCTATGTCATGTAATGCGTTACAGAGTCCATATAATGTGCTTCTACTAAGACAGGCAGATAGTAATACAGATCATATGAAAGAGATTTGGAGCTTAGTGGCATCTTGAAAATCTTAACTCAGTCTTCTGAGTAAGGCATACAGATAGAACTTTGCATTATGATATTACAGACGTAAGACGTATCACAGATATGCAGGGTTATGCTTATTTTCATTAATAGTGAGTTAGCACACATGTTGGTACCATATGTAATAATAGTTGTACCAACATGTGTGCTAACTCATATATGTCTTATCTGTTATAAACCTTTACTCACTTTGAAAGTAACATAAATTCCAGTACTTAGGGCAATGTAAATAGCCATATTGGCATACTTAAGCTGTAAATTACTTCTGGTATATTAGAATATGCAGCAACTTCCCGCCCATCCCTATTTTGGGCACAAATCTGTCCCCCTCTTTTTTGGGAGTGCCATTTTGTTGGTGTGTCTTAGTGTATAGAGCTCCACAGCAATAATACTCTCAGTAATGTGTCTTTAAATTACAATAAATGTGTTTACAAATAAGTCTGTGTAAAGAAGCTGCATTGTGCTTGTTCTACATTCCATTTTAATTGCATACATTGTTACTAGTAAGATACCTAAAATTACTCAGAATAGCCCCAACCCGGTTACACCCCCACTCACACTCTTAAAATGAAAGATCCATTTGAAATGATGGAACATATGATGTAGTAACTCTAAATGATTGTTTTCCTACAGCTCAACATGGTTTCCCATCGGGTGTCCTTTGCTCTAAAGCCAGGTCTAAGCAACTTGTGGCATCTCTCCTGATTCATTATGGCTGTAATAGCATAATGGGAGATGTAGTCCACAACATCTAAAGTGCTGAAGGTTACCTACCCATGCTCTAAAGTGATATCCTGTTTCACCTGCTGGAGGGATTCAGGCAAATTGTCAAACCCTGCTAAAATTAAAATTCTCGGAGTGTTCCCCTAATGAACTAAGGCTACTCAGCGTGGAACTAACTGGTTCAAATATGAAAGTCTTTGTGATATTATAAGAGTCATTCTATTCTGTGTGTAGAACTTTTATTTGTGTGTACTTTATGTGCTTTTTTAATATTGAAATACCATTTATATTACAAAAATTATCTATAGGATACCACATGAAGTTAAGCACCACAGACACAGGTTGGCACCTATGTGGCAACAAAGGCAGCTACATACACATGTGGTGGCAATGCCTGAACGTAAATGTCTACTGGGAAAAAGTGGTAACCCTTAGCTCCCAGGTATTACAGAGAAGGTTAACACTAGACCCATGGGGTTGTCTGTTATCCAGACCCACGGAAGGACTTAACCGACATGAGCAGAAATTGCTTAATATGCTATACCTGGCAGCACGAAGGGCATTGTCGCACAAATGGGCTAGCCCGGACCTACATAGCATGACCTTAGTATACGCAAAAATTAGAGATAATTATCTTGTGGACAAGTTAACTGCCCAAGTCCAAAACACCATCCCCACCTTCACCAAAGTATGGGAGCTGTGGGAGCAATACGATGAGTCAACATCAGACACATAAGAAATGCCCAACCACGCACATACCTCCACGGAGAGAATATGATATATACCCCCTAGAATTGCTAAGCCTTCAATTTTATTTTCCTTTATGTTTCTCTTCATTTATACGTTTTCTGGCAGTTATTAACTACTCTAATGTTCATATTACTGTTACAAAAACTGACAGAATGTCACTACCGGCACCCTAACTGATGGCGCAATGCATGCCTCACCAAAAATCTTTTTAAATATGCAACATACTATGTCTGCTACACTTATGGTCGACGGCTTCTGCGTAAGCCATGGCATATACAACTGCACTACTATTCTGTCAACACCAAAATAAAGTAAAAAAAAATTTTTATCTATGGGAGTGTTTTTGTTCATTCCGTTTTAGGTATATGCTTTGTTTGAAGAAATATTGGTGGGATACTAAATTAACTAACATCATTTGAACTTCTACATGATTGTGTATTTAGCTAGGGTACTTACACTCTGCAAAGACTTTGGAAGACGGACCGTGAATGGTTGCAATATGATTTTATCAGGACAATAATATATCATCTCCAAAACTCTGCTTGATGTTTTGAATAAAAGATAGGGAACCAATTTACCAGCCAATAATATAAATAAACATATATCAAAAGTATGAAAACAAATAAAAGCCCCAGAAGACAGAACTTGATCACTACTAGAATTTTTCCCTGAAGAAGTTCCTGCTAGTAGGACAAAATGTGTAGGGACTTTCTGTTCTTCCTACATTTTGTGTTTCACATGTAGTGTGTTTCTTTCATAGTCATGAATTGTTGAGGTAGCTCTGGACAATCCTATTGATGCAACCATGGAGGTGGTAATATGCTGTTTTTTTCCCTTTTGTTTTTGTGTGCATACAGTATTATATATTTATACACATTGTTATATGGTGGCACCGTTTGTGTATTTCGTATCGCAGTTATAGGATTATAAGGAACCCCATGCTTCTAATTCCTTGCTATTGTCACTTAGGCAACAGTACAGGCTCAGAAATCCGGATTTTATGGCAAGACAGAATGCTTCATATTTGCTTATCTTTCTTTACTGAAACTCCCAGCAGCAAAGAAACAGTTAACAAAGAGTGTAAAACATTCAACCAATCAGAATGCATAACAATAATATATAGTGCCATCAGACTCCTCCCACTTCCTCTTTCTTTGCTGCTTGCCTCCCAGGTGAGTCTATTCTAATTACACTGTGGCTATTACTATTTTGTTATATATATTGATATATTATATTTTAATAAAGGAATACCAGCTCTTATTTTTGCCCATATACATTTTTAATTCCTTCCTTTTTAATTTGAATTTTTAATTCCTTCCTTTTTAATTTGAATTACCTGGTTACCAACTTGGATTGAAGTACGTTACTCTCCAAGAATCCTAAGGTGGGGATTGTACCACCTGCGCCATCATACTGAGCAGTAGTTCCTGCTCATATACATGTGAGTATTCTACCATTTTATTTTGTTTTTAATATAATTCAGTGAGCACTATATACGTCTCCCATTTTTTCACATATCGAGGAATCACTCAGGACTCCATCACCTATATCCGACCAGTGGGGGATTGACGCCACTGAACGCTAAGAATACTTGAGCAAGTCTTTTTGCTCATGCCAAGGTGAGTTCTTTATCTACTTATAGACTCACATCTGGAAATTTTGTCGACACCCTACACTATTGGAGTTCTCTTTTATTTCTTTTATGTACCTACCTATGGACAAGCGAACCAAGACATCCCCAACATAAGAAGACTCAGATATCCATTTGGACTTTATACTCATCTAAGAACAACACAGGTTTATCTATTATTTGGGACTTTTTTATCATATTTATTTATTCCATTTATTTTACCTCCCTGTCCCTTTAGCGCGACCTATATACCCATTTTTGTCTATCCTATTCCATGTGAGGCTTGCTGAGGGACCTCATTCCTATAGGTTGCTGCTTTTACACTTTATTTTAGTTTCTTTTAGATTATTTAGCGCTGAACCATTATCCTTTTGTTCTATTCTAATTACACTGCCTTTGATTGATTTTAGTTTGATATTTCTATTTGTATTAAAACCTTTTTTTGGTATGAGATTTGTTGATTCAGATTTAGCTATGTGTTACTGTTTTATTTTAACTATTTACCCTGTGTCTTCTCTTTGTACAAACCACTTTGTATAGAGAATTATACATAACTTTTACTTCATACTTATCCTTAAAGGATCACTATAGGGTCAGGAAACATGTATTCCTGACCCTATAGTGCTAAATCCACCATGTAGGTGGCTTGCCCCTTTCTTAGCCCCCTCAGAATGGGTTAAAACTCACCTTATTTCCAGCTCTCCACGGGTCCGCCGGCGCTAGCCCTGCCCCCTTGGTGACACACACAGCGCCCTCAAACACTAACAGCACCCTTACACACACACACACCACCCTCACAAACACAGCACCCTCACACACAGCGCCCACACACACAGCAGTGTATGTGTGTGTGTGTGTGTATGTATATATATATATTACGCGGCATGTGTGTTTGTGCTTTAGCAACCTTATGCAATAGGCTGCGCATGCCTATGCTTAAAGGTGTATCCCACCTATATTGTTATATATTGATATATATAGATTGTTATATATCTTGTGGCTAGCTCATTACTATTTTTGGTTAACCCCATTTTAGTGATAATTTACTGCCTTCCAGCAGTACATACTTACACATTAATTGACATTAGGAATTTACATTCCCATCTTGTACCTCACATTTAAAACACTATACAACAATATGTCTGATCATCAAATCCCCCCCATTTCTGCTGAATTACGGGCATGGTTTTTCTCCACTATTGCAGAGTCCATACCCAAGGCTTCGGCTGCCTTTCACGAACAGGCTTCTACTGAAGCTAACCCTTCTGCACACCAACCTTTGGATTCAGAGTTTTCTCATCTGTCACCCCATGCAAACGGCCCTGGAAAGGGGATAGTGCTCCTACAGGCAAGGGTAAAGCTCCTGCAAAATCACTTAAATTGTCTCTGCCACTCACTATGCAGGATACCCTAGACCAGGCTTCCCCAAACTCTGGCCCTCCAGATGTTGCTGAACTACAAGTCCCATTATTCTCAGAATCATTCATAGAATCATGGGAGTTATAGTTCAGCAACATCTGGAGGGCCAGAGTTTGGGAAAGCCTGCCCTAGACCCAACTGGCTGGTCATATAATGAAAGATTATGATGCTAACTACTCTGATGAGGATCTTTCTGTGAATGTGCTGAGTGCTCTCTGCCCAGCTCCCTCGCGCGCCACTTACTGATGCCGGAACCGGAATGACATCATATTTCGGCTCCGGCATCAGTGCGGTGCGCACGAGGGAGCTAGGCAGAGAGCGCTCAGGGAAGAATGCTCCCTCGACATACTGACACAAACACTGACAGACATACTAACACACACAGGCACATACACTGACAGACATACTGACACCCACAGACAGACATATTGACACAAACACACACAGACATACTGACATACAGATATACTGACACACACACACACGCACATACTGACACACACACAGAGACATACTGAAACACACACACAGACATACTGACACACACATAGACATACTGAAACACACAGACATACTAACACACACACATACTGACACACATGTAAAAAAAATAAAAATTAAACCCACCCTCCAGTTTTCTACCTTTTGCTGGAGTGTGGGTTCCCTGGGATCCAGTTTGGTGCCTGAGGCTGATGGGAGTGAGGAGCCCCGATCCTCACTGCCTTCTCCTCACTCCCGCTCTGCTCCTCCTGATCCCTCCCGCGCAGCTGCTCTCTTTATGGGAGGAAGTGACTCGCGGCATGTTGCCGAAAAGCATGGGCCCAGTTGTGCTGTTAAAGGACCACAGCACCCGACCGGGCCCCTGCTGATAAAAGCCGACCGGTTGGCCCTAATTGCATGGGCCACCCGGTGGGCCTCCTTAGAGTGCAGGGTCCAAATAAAATGTTGAGGGCAGCGGGACCCACGGGGCAGCTGCCTTGGGCCCCCCAGGAGTAACATACGGGGCAGCTGCCCCATTTGCCCTGTTTGCCCCAGCTGTCCCGTTTTCCCTGCATCCAGACCCTCTGTGTTTCCCGTTGTACCCGTAGCTACATTGAGAGCACGTCTACTCTACATACCCCTTCAGGGCTTCTTCTTATCTCTTATGTCAGACCTCACAAACCGGTCTCTTCTCCAATGATTGCATCCTGGATCAGATTGTTACTCACTCAAGTAGGAATTGACCAATCCTTTGGTGCTCATGCAGTCAGAGGTGCAGCCGCATCTTCTGCCTTTCGTGCTGGCAGTTCTCTATTGGATATTTTATCATCCGCAGACTGGTCCAGAGAATCCACCTTCCGAACCTACGTTACGTGCTGCCTTTTCTATTATAGAAGAGTGTTAAAACATGAGGAGAAAGCCACCAAGTAGATTAATCACTACGTTCAAGACAGTAGTGTTTTAAGTGAGAATGAATAGGATTGGCAAACTGTAATTATGCTGCAAACAGTAGCTTGGGAAAAGATTAAGCAGCGGTAACTGAGCAAGTGTATATGTTCGGGTCAGCTGAATATAGTCCACTCAGCCCACACCTATATCTGCAAACCTGTGTCCAGGCAGGTGTGTTAAGAAATTCCGGCTTACTGAGGCGCCACATCGTGCATCATCACTGCAACCCCAGACGTGATTGGGAACCAGCTCCAAACGTCAACAGACCCCCTACATTATCTCTAGACGGAAGCCACCGTGTGGGGGTGCTGCACTCCGATGCGTGGGTTGCAGATGGGTATACAAAACCTGGTTCCCCACTGAGGAGAAGAACACCAAACCGATGCAGTGGCTGGGGCTGTGCTGGAAACGTGGTCAGTGTTCCCAGCCCTTCCAGAACCGCTGACACATGCAGTGTGCACATGCTTCAAAAAATGCAGAAAATTATGTTTCCCATTTTTGAGCAGCAATAGCTGTGCCATCGGCCATCTAGGACAGGTCATGTGTAAGCCACCTTCACAGGATTCACTCAGGAGCGGCACAGAGGTATTTTTTTGGTGGAGGCTGGGATAACCCCCACTGGCCCAGAGGGGGAGAGTATGGGGCTCTGAGGATCCACAGAGAAAAAAAGCCGGGGCAACCACAGGCGGAGAGATCGGCTTCTCCTCCCACCGAGTGTACACCAGGCCGCAACAAGCTAGAGTCCTCAAACGCTTTGCACATGAATGACAGGCTCGCATACCCATGGAAGATTTGCCCAGAAGGTGCCAGATGAGGGTACCAGTGTGGGAAAGTCCAGTTGTAGGGATTTTTCACCCTTAAAGTCACTTTTAATGCAAGATTGGCCTGGAGCTCATTGAATCTGCAACCATCCAGTATGGCATCCAAGCCCCGCCCCCTGATCCCTTAAATTTAGTTACTTGTAGATCCTCAATTAGCAGCAACATTCTCCGCCGAATGTTTCCTGTGCCCTATTTCCTCCTGATATAGCATGGTGCAATTTTGCCAAAAAGTTCTGCTTTTGTCTCATCTGTCCACATCACATTTTCCCAGTAGCATTGTGGAATATTCAGGTGATCTTGGGCAAATGAAATGCAATAATTTTTAAACAGTTGTGGTTTCCTTCCTGGTATCCTTCCATGAACAGCATTCTTGTTCAATGTTTGCCTGATAGTGGACTTTCACAGTTTGTGCAGTTTACTGGTATTTTTTTGCTGCTTCCCCTTGTTCTTTCGCACTTCTTTCAGGAATGCTCTTGGAGTGATCATTACAGGATGCCTGCTGCTATGTAGTGTAGCAAATCACCTGAATGTTCTCCATTAGTAGACAATTGGATTAATGAACACGCAGGTCTTTAGCAATGTTTTTGTAACCTTTTTTGTATCCATATAACTATTTTTTTTTTAACATCTTGTGAAAGATGTTGTGATTGCGGCATGGTTCCCATTAACCAATCTTTCTAGAGGCGAACCCATTTGTCAATAATCAATAATCATTCTTTGTGTGCCTTTATTTAAAGGGCAGGGCACCTGTGAAACCCACACTTCCAAATTAATCTCACACCTGAATCCAAATAACTTTTGTAGAGGTTGTTCACACAGATGTTCACTTACTAATTCCAGCCTGCACTATGAATAATTACAAGGATAGATGATCTCAGTCATGATGCTGGA